CTGCACTCACCAGCGGTCATGACGTATGGCCAAACAACCTCTCAGACCGAACGGGGCTTGGCAAGGCCCTCATCTACCGTTGGATTGACAAAAGGGTTGTATATTATTTATTTGTATGTATAATATATATTTTTTAAACCTTTCATCCCTGCTTTGTGTGCTTAAACTTAATGTTGGAGGTTGAACCATCATCCCATCGGGGTAAATACAATGCGTAAAGTTTCGTAACCATTCTGTACTGTGAAGATTTGGAATTTCCACCACTGGCTCTGCACCACCTGAAATGTTTGTTTGAACCAGGATACATTTTGAGTTTAACTTGATACAGTTATAGTGTCACTGCTGTAGTTCAACCAATTTTGAGCCCACATTGTAAGTAACTATTCCTGGTGCACGTTGCTGATGATCCTGAGTGGTATTGAAATGAGCGCAAGGTTGTCCTGATTAAATAAACACATGTCATTGGAAAACTTTCGTATGGAATTAGTTTAGGCCAGTGGATTATATATTTGTATTGACAATTTCACTAACTAATTTTAACGTCTAAATTTTTCATAATCATATCCATGTAGCCCTTTTCCCACTGTCAAACCTGAGCTGTGCCAGGGCAGTGCGACGCCAGACCACTACGGGTCTCCAGGCGTTGGGTAATGTAGAGACGCGTATGGATGATGCTGTGTGATCCTGTATTTGAGTTATACCAACTGATGTCACATGCAATTACCGCTTCATGAGACCTGGCCCTTCTTGGCTCCAAATTAGATTAAGATGTTTTGTTCGGTTGGCACAGCATCGCATGGTTATGGCATGGCATGGAAAATATCCGGTCGAAAACCACCCATAACCATTGGGCCCAGCTTTGGCTCTGCTTCGATGTACCAGTGGAAAAGGATGTAACGAGTATGAGGGTGGTGCTGGCAACCTTGAGCTTGCAGTAGAAATGCCAGATTGATGTGGCAGGGACAGTTTATCCTTCTCATCTGTAAAAAATATCTGTGGGGGTTAACATAAAGATTAGAGTGATGAACAAAACTTATAAATAGGTTACCTGTTTGCTAAAGCATGTCACCTATTTCTCATATGATAAACAGTTGACACAGTGAGTCCTGTTTAAAATCGCTGCAGTGTTAGGTCAGATGGTGTATGGGGAATGGAGTGCATTGAAATGGGGTCACGGACATCATGAGTGTGAAGATGATGCGATGGTGCTGAAAACAACAGCACAGTTTAGGCAAAATGGTCACTGTACACTTTTGCTGTGTCATGCCGTTATGCTGTTTCTTGACATGTGTTTCAGTAAAACTTAGGTTTTTTGGTTTTACAAAACTTAACTTGAAATTAACAGTCTTCTTAATTTAAGGGTTTAATGCCTGTTCCTGCTATTATCTGTTCTAGCAATCTGCAGAGAATCATGTTTTCCCAAGGACATGCTCTTTTCATTGAGTGGAGCTGCGATGCAGTGGCTTGTGCACTGCGCTGTATACCCGGTTACGTGAGTTTGACCCGCAGCCATACCTCACATAGCCAAGCTGGTCAGTGCGGGTTGCAGTTTACATTTTTATTCACGTTTTTTTAAAATCTAGGTCCAATACGTTCAGGCATAACTCATCATCATTGCAATACATCCTGGATTCCAGTCAGATTGTGCCCTTGACTTTTTATAAAGAAGTATATTTGTACAACCCTGGGTGTAATCTGCTGTCGGATGAACGCCTCCCCTCGCTGTCATTCATGTGTATTATTTGACCATACTTTGCCACACTGGTTCGTGCGTGTTGGTGAATGGGAATGGGTGCATGGGACTGGTTTAGGTGTCACTCTCCATTGAAGTTAGCTGTGGCCAGGAATCAAACTCAGGTCACTGGTTTCATAACATAGTGCACGAACCACTGCTTCGCCACTCCACTCCATGTATATATATTTGGACAAATTATTTTTCCGTAATTAGTTTTTACATGCATTAGAAATAGTTATGTAACACTTACTTTAACGAATATATAGAGCTCGGACAACAACAAAAAATAAAGTCGTAGAAATTAATGTTTTTGTGCACGAAGCAGCAGTGTGGTGCTCTGTGTGTGTTTGTACAATGTGACTGGCTGTGGGACATGTTTGGCGTTTGTGTGGAGTTTGACCCGCGTGATCCAACCCCAAATGCATTCTCTCCATTGCACTATCGCCCCTGCCACGAAGCAACACTCTCAATGTCTCCTTGGAAAAAGAGCTTTACACTCCGACACACAACAGCTGACATTTACAACCATAGTGCTTGTGTCATGCGAGTACGTGTTGCAAAGGTTCCTCTTGCAGGAAAATCCAAATGTTATTGGTGAACAGACTGGTGTGACTGACACATGCTCTACCTGCCCTCAATATTGTTGTGATTTCTCGCCTGACTTTGCTCATTGTTGTGAGCATTGCTCTTTCACTTTATATTGCTGGACGATGGTTGTCGTCACCTGCACAATCCAAATTGAGTCCAACTGAGTCGCAGACGTTGTCTTGGGAGCAACACTATTTATTTAGCAACTTCAACATAACATTGCACAATCTACACTCGGGTATTGAATGCCCATCTAACCACGCTACGGCAGAACTAGAAACGGTTTGCTATCTCGGCCCGGACCACGAGCTGGGTCCCAGACTGCGTGGCTAGAGGCTTCTTCTTCCCGACGTAGATCTTCTTCACACCAGCACACGAAGAACCCCGAGCTCCTCAAGGGGTCCCGTTACACCCCCCTGGGCTGGGGCTGGCTCCGCCCTTTGCCCCGCCCACCTTCCAGATCTCTCGAGCTCTTTCTCAAAGGCTCCCGAGAGCTCTTTTAGACCACGTGACCGCCCAGCGGCCCCCGTCCACCGGTGGCCCCCCTCCAATATTATCCGGTCACGTGTCAGCAGGTCAACCAGCGTATCATGCCCCAACGTAACCCTGGATGGCAGACGCTCCCTCTCGCTCCATCACCGGGAGCCCGCACCGCACACTGTACGTGATGCCTCCGCACTGAGCAGCGCTCACCTAAGCCCCGCTAGGGCTGGTACTACTCCCAGTAAGCGGGCTACACGTAATGCCAACACATTATCCGCCGTGGCTTCGTAAGCCCGGCACTATACAGTGACAATCACAGTCACTAAAAAATTATTTCACAGTAACCTCCACAAATGCTGATCTTGAGCCCACTGGTATCGGTCATCAGCAAGTATATTCTCTAGTACATGCCACAATGATATCCACCATAAGCAACCTCTTTCCAGCCAAATAGGAGACATTTGCAATTTAACACACAGATGCCTATCTGTGATATTGTTTTTTTATTTTAAAAAAGTAGTACTTAATAGATTTTGCAAAATGCAAGGCCTGTTTGAAAAACCTCGGGCAATACCATAGCATTGCAATTGTTCAATATAAAATTCCATACGGTAATTTGTCATTCGGGTGGTTAAGTCACGTGAAAGACTGGCAACCAATGGACCCAACGCATCCTTGACATCTTTTGCGCAGATGGAGAAATGAAATCGGCTTGTGTGCTGCTGCCACATCGCAGATCCGTGAGAGATGACGACTGCTTTGGGAAGCCTTTATCCAGTAATGGCTTGATTATGGCTGATTAATTTGTAATTCATAGTGTGTGAAAGGACAGTTTGAACATTGATTGGATTTGTATTTTGCGTTAGCTGATGATGTTTACCAATCCCAAGGTCTTCCACTCATAGGATACATTGTAACAAGCTTTATTTATATATTTATTAATATATATATATTTCTTTATATATTAACCAGATACTGACTCTTGTAATAATCTGCACCCATACTCATTGAGCAGGTGGAAAAATAGTTTTGACTTAATACAAATACAGTGGTACCTCGGTATACGTCGTTAATTCGTTCCAGAATGTAGGACTTATACCGAAAATTACGTATACCAAACGCATTTTTCCCATAAGAAATAAAGGGAATGGAAATAATCTGTTCCAGAGTATAAGAAATTATATTTTATATCGCATATTATACATTAATGGGGTTGTATAAAATAATTTTGACACTACTTATTACTTAAATGCTTACATAAATTAAAATAAATGCAGAAATAAATGAAAATAAATTGAAAGTCGTGAACGGGGTCTACGCGGGTACGCGGTGACTCATCCCGACCCATACAAGTTCTAGCAAGCGCGTCATATCCCAAGCAAGACGTCGTATCCCAAGACATTTTCTCTCTCGTCAAAACAGACGTATACCAAATTATACGTATTCCAAAGCGGTCGTATACCGAGGTATGATCAAGTTAAATTGTTTTAAATGAAAATAACTTTATCTTGGGGGGTGGTGTGAGGGGATATTACTGAACTCTTTGTTATAAAGTAAATACAAATTGTAATTGTTTTTGGATTTAAATGTATTTTGAATGCCACAAAAATGTGTGGACTTGACAGAAATTTTCACTTTTTATGAAAATACTTTTGTAAATATGAGTCGGTTAAAAATTGATGGAATTAATGGCAGTACTGCATGCCATTCGGTAATATAGCTGTCTGTCTTTGTATGATTTTGTCGCATTTGATATTATTGTATTCGACATGCTAAAATTGAATCCTAAATGTAATCCCTACTTGAAATACAAATGCCGACTTAGTCGTTAAAGCACGATTAAACCCATTACCCTTGCTCGGACTACCTGCCGCCCAATTAATTCTTGCTTCCATGGGTCAACAAAACCCCACTATTGTTCTGATAGCTCAGTTTATTTCTCAACTTAACCCATGAATGTACACAACCAGGAGACGCACACTCCCCTGCGGTAAGACACACATCCCCTCTGGGATTAAGAGACACTCACCTTTGAGTTCAGTAAGAATGTGAGTGTATATTGTCCTGGTAAACACATGCAGCCGTGTTTCTACTTTGTCAACTCTGCTGCTGGATATAGGCCTCACACCGTATCGGGATTGTTTGACCGATACTTCAACACACTGCTCCTCCCCGGCTGTTTCTTCTGTTGCAGGCTGTGACTTCCCCCCCACCCCCTCGTGGTACCAGACCCAGACCATGTCAGCACCTTCTGCAAGCGAGACGGGCTCGTCGCCCCGCCGTGCCCCGCACAGCCCCACGGGGCCTGGAGACGTCCCCACCTCGCTCTCCTCCATCTCGCCACTCTCCCCGAAGAGAGACTTCCTGCTGCCCAGCCCGCTGCCCACGCGCCGATCTCGCACGTACTCCGCGTGAGTGTGCATACACACACATGGATAGCGAGTGGTGACCGCTGTGACACGGTTGTGTGGTGATGGTTCTAGTGGTGTGTGTAACATGCACAGTGTTAATTTAGTCAGAATTTTGTTTTATTTGAGTCATTGTTTTAACATAGTCGATGACAACCTGTAGACTATTAGTCACATCTTAGTTTGTGGTTCTCATTTAGTAATTATCTTAGTTTTCTAGTTAATGCAAACATGAGGTTATTTCAACCACCTGTAAGAAAATTGACAGTCTCTTGCTCAGAAATTGATATTTCTCTTGACGAAAACATGCCTTTGACCAAAAAGCACCACTCGTTCTTAACTCTCTATACTCTTTGATTCACCACTCATTCTGTGGATGTGCATGTTGTTTGCAGAGCGGCGAGGGCGGCAGCCGGCCCATCGTACCGGGGAGTCTGTAAATTCTTTTGCCGCTCCAAAGGTCACGGCTTCATCACCCCCGAGGGGGGCGGTGCCGACATCTATGTGCACATCTCAGAGTGAGCCACCTGCACGAAACACAACCACCTGAACTCGGCACAACCAACTAACCGAACACAAAGACAAAGATCCCCCTGTGTAGCCTTAACAAACTGTTGGGGCAAGTGCTGTTAGCGAGCACCTATGAAGGCCGACACGGCACACGAAGGGGGTGGGTGGTCAGCACCATGCCCAGCTGCCTTTGTCTTCCTAGTGGCGATGTTTAGGCACCGCACAAGGTGCTCATTTGAGGCTGAGTCGACCTAGGGGAGGCCCAGGACCGGTTCAGATATTTGTCACTGGTTTTGGTCGTAAGCGCGAATCGAACACGGATAGCCATGTTCGTCGCGCAGCGCGATAATCGCGACCTTACCGCTCCCCAAACCTCGTAACCATATGCATCCGCATCATCAAATGAGGTTGCATGCACAAAACCTTACCGGGTGACTTGGCACAACCACGTTATTGAACGTAGTCGCGTGAGCTCAACCATTTGACTGAATGCAACCACCACAACCATGTGACTCTGTGGTAGGTGTTCAGCAGGATTCACAGATTGAAAGAATCTGACCAGGGATCTCATGAATGAATACAACCAACGACGAATCTCATTCACATGAGTGTACCCGACGCGTCACTGGCCTGGGACAGGCTGTGCGGCTCGGTTGCCTGCACAAGCCAGTGCTGTAAATGTTTCTTACAAAACCTCCGTGCTCGTGTCACCGGGTTACAGTGTGAGTCACCTCACTGGGCGCTCTCCATTGTAAGGAAGGGACATTAATTTGATAAAGATTCACATCCTCGGTGTAGGATGCCAAAGACTTCAAATTTGTCCTTGTGCCTATACACGTTTGTGGATTTGTGCGTGGGTGAGTGTGTGTTTGTGGGGACAGTAGTGTACAATAGTGGTTAGCGTACTGCGTTATGAACAATTTCTGGCCATGACAAGCTTCAGTGGTGAGTGATATCCAAATCGTTTCTGGGCCTTTTCTATGTCGACTCAGCCTTAATTTATTACCTGGTGCAGTAATAAATTGCAGTGGGTAAGCATCAGTACCGTCTGTTGGGATAAATGTGGGATATTTGTTTTGTGTGTATGTATGTATGTGTGCATGCATGTGTCTGTGTTGAGTGATAGTGCTATGATCCCCAGTGAGCTAGTTTAAATTCCTGACTGAACAACAAGAACCATTTACAGTAACAATTTGAACCTTCGCTAACACCTCTCAGAATTGAATTCATTACCTGGTGTAATGGTGCACTGAATTCATAAATAGCACCACTGCTGAGTGCAACCTGCGGGCATTTGTAGGTACTCATGAACAGCACTGGCCCCAACATTCTGTGCAGGCTAAATTAGGAATATTTGTCTTTGTGTGGTGCCATCACCATCAGAGGCATTTATTGTAACTATAGAGGATGTATTCTGTCAGCTAGTGTGTGTCAGTGTGTACACGTCTGAGTGTACTTGTGAGCATGTTCAAACACGTTTGCACATGTTTTCATACATGTGTAATGAGCGACTTCCGTGTAGAGGGCTTCGTATTTATTTCTCACACTTGGGCACAAACACTGGGCGATATAAAGAAACATATCTACATAGCTCCGCACAGCCAACCTTTCTACACAGCCCCATCGTCGACATCTAACTACATAGCTTGCTGACTAAAGTAGCGATGACGACGTTGGGAGCCGTGCAGATGATCGGCCATGCGGCCGGACGACGAAGAGAGATGACGGTGAGCAGCGACGCAGCCAGGACCCAGGACCCCACGACAGCCCCGAACCTTCGGTTACGTCCCCCCTCTATACTTCCCGGCGTGGCCAGGCCCCGCCTCCGGCCACGCCTCCTTCTAGAACCTTTGAGCAGGTTCCTGGAGCTTCCCGATTGTCCCCGCCTTTTACCTTGAACCCAGATACGCCCCCCTTCTAGTTGGTTATTATATAACGCGCCCATACCTGTGATTACCCCTCCTGATCGACAGGTGGCACCCTGTCATTACAATGCATGTACGTGTTTGCCTGTGTGTGTACGTGTGGGGGGAGCGGTAGTGTAGCGTGTAGCAGCGCTACAAACTCGGTGACCTGAGTTCCGTTTCCGCTCACGGCCAACACCAGTGACGATTTTCTGAAACGGTCCTGGGCCTCCTTCCCTAGGTCAACTCAGCCTCAAATGAGTGCCTGGTGCAGTGTATGAAAAAAACGTCGCCACTGGGGAGGCAAAGGCAGGTGTGGTGCTGGCCACCCATTCCTTTGCATACCGTTCCAGCCTTCATAGGTGCTCGAGAAATAGCACTTTCCCCAACAGTCTGATGAGGCTATACAAGGAATCTTTGTTTTTGTATATATGCATGCACGTCTGCATGTGTGCACACGTGTGTGTGTGTGCCTTCACCGCCACTTAGTGGCGAATGGCGGTTGTTGTTGTTGTGTGTGCTATGCGTGTGTAAGTATTTTATAACGAGGTAAGAGCCCATGTAGACCAATGTCAAGGGAGACATCCGTCTCTGTATGTCTAAGCGAGTGTGGGAGCTGTGTTGAGCTGGTACTACATCTACAAGGGCAGAGGAGGTGGTGGGTGTGTGGGTGCTATTATGTAACATTGTGACATACACCTTGTGAGCTGTCTCGCATCAGTGGCCTTTGCTGATGAAGGTCACTCGGGGCTCCTGTCATTTGCTTTCCAAGGACAAAGACGTGCATGTGGGTGCAGCTTTGTTTTTGGGGAGTGGTGGAGTAGTGGTTTGTGTGCTTTGCTACAATTCTGGTGATACAGATTTGAGTCTTATTCATGTACAACAACAGTAAAAAGAGCGGTATATAATTTTTTTCTGGGCCTCCCCAAGGTTAATTGCCTTAAATGAGTACTTACAGCAGTATGTCAACATCATCACTGGGGAGACAAAAGCAGCCGAGCATGCTGCTCGCCACACAACCACAACTTGTGCCATGCTGGCCTTAATAGGTGCTCGCTAACAGAGCTAGCCCCAACAGTCTGTATTGTGTTTCTGTGTGTGCGGTGCGGTGGTGCAGTAGCTCGCGCACTGTAAATTTGGTGGCCATGATTTAAGTGATCGCTGTTCCTATGTGACAAGTTGCATCTCAGCCTGTCCGAGGAAACCCCTAGGTTGACTCCGCCTTAAATGAGGATTCAAAGGTGGCCCTCAGAAGGCATAGCCTTCTTAAAATGGTGCTCACTAACAGTACTTGCTAAACAGGGGATCTTTGTAGTGGCTTTTGTAGTGATTTTATGATCCCAGTGGTCTGGGTTCCATTACTCCTCATGTGTATCCGAGCCTCATCTGGGCAAATTCGAACTCATCTCAGCCTATAATTAGCATTTATGGTCAGCATTCAGCATGAGAGATACGAAGGCTGCCGGTTGTGAATGTCTTATGCCTTACAACAACAACATACTCAGCTTTCACTGCAGTCTTTACAAAAATAAACTGTGTAATCTCAAAGGCATTTTTGTATTTCACGTGTGTATATGCATTCAATTGTGCACTCATGCCTTTTCCTGTGCTCGTTTGTGTGCATGCGTGGGTGCGTGGGCGTTGAGGTCTTTTGTGTGTGTATGATTTTTAAAGATATGAAAGTGATGGATAGTGACTGCGACTCACTGAAACCTGTGAGTTATTCACAGGTGACCCTCATCCTATCTCTTGGGAAGCATTTGTTACCCCTGCTCATGTTTTGGCTTGCATGCTTGTGCGTGGTCCCAGCTCTCTGTGTGCATGCCCTCGTGTTCCTGTGACTGTGTACATGTATCCATGCGTCCCCAATTACACACACTTGCATCTCCACGCACCGATATATTTGCATATTTGTGTACTGCGTCTTCACATACCAGTGGATCCACATATCCTCTGCGCGCACGCCCATGCTCCCCCCCCCCCCCCCCCGTGTTCACGTATCTGTGCGTCCGTGTCTTCTCATACCCTGTGTACCTCGCAGTGTGGAGGGCGAGTATGTGCCGGTGGAGGGCGACGAGGTGTGCTACAAGCTATGCTGCATCCCACCCAAGATGGAGAAGCATCAGGCAGTTGAAGTCAGCATCATTCACCTGGCGCCAGGGTCCAAGCACGAGACCTGGTCTGGCCACCCCATCTAGGACCAGGGCACCTGGGCCTTCCATCCTCATCTCGACCACCAGCCAGCCCCACCAGCCAGCCTTGCCTGCCTCTGCTCACACTAAACACACTTGACTGTGGGGACACTCACTCCTAGTCCGTTGGATGGTTGCATCACACATGGAGGTAACATTTCCCTTAGTTTACACGGATTTAGATAGGAAACTTAGGGCTCGTGAGTTGATTGATGCAGCCAGCCATAGGTCCCCGAGTAAAATAAATGCGAGTGAGTTATTAATCTGAGCCAGCTCAACACACTCCTCAAGCATTCCTGGCCTCTATCCCCATGACTTCTAGTTTAAATCTGCTTTATCTTAAGTTCAAAGTATAATTCACATTAAACAAGTGTCACATCTTGCTTTTCTAATAAATCAAAAAGCTGCTTTTGAGTTGGTACACATTTCAAAAATTCCATTAGAAATGCCATGCAATTGTTTGTTTAAAAAATGTAATATCCCAAATTCAGTTGAACTCCAATTAAAACCCTCTATCATTGGTTCATTTATATATTAACATTCCTTTTTTTTTAAGTCCACTGATCTCTCACCAACTCTATCAACATTACATTAATATCTGACACAAGTCCCAGAAACTGGAAGCCCTCCAAAACTTCATAATTCTGAGGAACTGCAGCTGTAGAAATTTCATCTGTAATACTTATATATCACCGACTGTCATTTATGGCTGAAGCAACACTTATCCACCCATCTTCACCCTTTGGCCTCCGCTATTCCCCTAGACTTTCAGCCGGCTCCTGCCCAAACAGTGCACATTTAATACAGTTAATCAGGAACTTCACTACAATTGCAGACACACCATGTGTTTAAGTGTATTGCTCCTTTAGCAAAGGCCTTTATTAAATGCTTAATTACTGGAGCTCATAAACCAGCTAGTGAGAGTCAAAATAAGGCCATTTTTCTTGTCAGGGACCATGCCTATATAATGGGGAATGACATTGTCTTAGTTCAAATGCCGTAACACATGCTTGTGTTGGCAATATCTGGCAATGCTTTATGTATCATATGCAAAGTGGCATTAAAGAGCAAACAGCACATCATGTCTGGTAGTGTAGATGCGCGTATATCACCCAGACATCATAGCCTCACTCAGTCGCTTATTAGAATTACCTCCATATTGAGCAGAGATTTTTTGCGGAATCAGGAAATGTACCTGACCTTTTTGAGTGCATTATATAATGAGGCCATCACAATTTTGGATATGGTTGAGTTTATTAGGATGCATAGCATTGGACATGCACGTATGCACCACTACACACACTTGCATGTACATGTATGTATGAATGCGTTTGCTTTTCAATAGTTTAATTTGTTATGAATGGCTGCTGTGAATTCTGCAGAATAGGATAACGTTCATTGAAGTTTTGCATCAAGGCTGGTATTCAGAGGTGGCTAAGGGAAAGCTTAAATATTCTTGGTTCTTTCGGTAAAGTCACGTAGAAGGGAAATAAAATAATATAAATCTTAAACGATTACTTTATTATTTCCCTTCTATGTGACTTTACCAAAAGAACCAAGAATATGAATCCCTGCAGTCACGAAAGCTTTAAATCGGAAAGCTTAAATTTAGGGTGTGTTGGAGCGCTCGCTCAACATCACTGAAGTCCTGGGTTTGAATTCCAGTTTCCAACCTGCCCAAAGGTGAAACCCTTTTGAATATTTTTGTGATTGTTCTATAAAGCTCTCTGATGTGTTTTTGGCTTCTACCATGTGGTGTTTGGCACGACGTCCAATGATTTGCTGTACATGCTGGGAGCTTCTCTTCTTGAAGAAACTCTCAGTACGTGGAGTAAAACTTAAGATGGCATATCACACAGTACGCCGCTCAAGCCGAAACACAGAGAACCAACTAAAGAAGTTGGTTCCATCTCACCACCAATGACTGCACAAAAAAATTACGTGATTTAAATGTGCGTAATAAAAATGTTTTGCCCAACCCAGAGAGTTGAAAAATACGTAAACGTGCATTGAATGATAAAGGGAACCACTCGCAGAGTATGTGCGATGGCCTTGCCACAGGTTGTGGCAAGAGGAGCTTGTTGAAGAGACATCGTAAGTTCTGAAGTTAATTGAAAAAGCCTGTGGCCAAACAATAAATGATCAACCTTGTAATGCACTTGATTAATAGTTTCATAACCCCACCTGAAAGAACTTGCTGCCATTTCATGACCAGTGGCAAGGGTGTTGACTGTCCTAGATGGCATTCTGACTTGGTCCATGTTCCTATGGAAGTCTTACTAGACCAAATGTTCACTGAAGAGGGTTTGATAATAGGACTAGGTAGATGGATTCATGACCTCAGTTTCATATTGGAGCAACAGGCTCTTGAATGAGCAATCAGGCGTGACGTTGCTGTGATGCAGGAATGGGAAGTAATGTCGGTGAGGTCATTTACTATGAAATCCGCATTGGTCTTTGGATTTAAAAAAAATGTAGGATTAAGGAAATTATAGATTTTAGATTGCGGTAGCCTAACCTAACTGAAGAATGCATTAAATATAACAAATGTTTTACATGTTTAAGATCACTTCCTGAGCACCATTCTCTGGCAGTGGAGGGCAGACAGGAGGAGGTGGCAGGGGACAGTGAGAGGGCCTGAGCCCACTGCCTTGTGGCTCATGGGGACACGGATGTGGGTCGTGGTACTGATCTTGGAATCTAATAGGGATGTAACCGGCTGTTCCTGGTCTCCCGAGCCTCCTTGTCAGTGGTCATGAAAATGTTGCATTTGTCTTTCTTATTATACCACTTTCTCGCAACAGACATTACTGAGATTAACATAAAGATGTGGGTGCGATTGGCAGCCTAGACTGGCGAGTTTGGGTTTGTTCCAGAGTTCTGCGTTCAGATTTCTACAAATGGCACGTAAAACACGCAAGGTAATTACAAACAACTAAACACGAGTTAATAAATGTCATGAATTTCATAATCTTTAGATATGTGGTTTTAACTGAATATTATGCTTTGTTGTGGCACCAATCTTTATACAGTATGTCGGACCATGGACGTTCCATTCCCCCCATAGTTCTGTAATGCTCTGCCCACAGCTACTACTACCAAAAACCAAGCTTTCTCTCCGTGTATGTTATGCTTAAGATGGAAGAAATTGGAGGATGCAATAACAAGTGCTTTATGAGTCAACAGGAGTTAAATGTTTTCGAGGTTTTACAGAAATGGAATTATAGCCCTCAAAAGTGAAGCAATTGAAGGTTTCATACGCAAGTGTGAAACAGTTTAATCTCTTTATAGGCATGTGTTGGAAACTCCATATTCCTATGGCATGGACAGGTTGGTCCATTGGGCAACCACTGGTGAATTCACACGGGGGCATCAAGGTTATTGACCTTGCAGTGATGAAAGAAAGGCTGAGTTGACCTCTGGGATTTTATCTTGCAACTTCATGATTGTGCTACCCAGCTGATCAGTACAGCACCAAGTTGATCATTTGGATTGAGTCCATTCTGAATGAGTTGCTTATTCTTTTGGGATGGTTTCGTTCAGCTTCATTACAAAGCCATTGCACAAACACGTGCATGTATGAAAACTGGTTGCTTTTCCGACCTTTGGACCTGGATTTGTATGAGGCCTTCCTGTGAATAATCGTCGACAGGGTGATTACAACCAAATGAAACCACAAAAGGTAGAGTTTTGTGTCAAAATGGGAAAAAAGTGATCAATATTAATAAAATCGAATATTTTCCTGTAAAGTTAAACTTGCTATTTTATTCCTACAGATTAGACAACAAAAAGTAAAATTTGCATTGTATTGAAATATTTGTCCTGGGTATGGTGATGAGAGGTCAGTGTCCTCACACTCCGAATGAACACTAAGAGTTTCTCATCTCTCGAGGCTCCAGAACCAATTCTTGAAAATACATATCACTATGGCAGGGAGCAGTTTAACACAACAGCCTATTGTTGGGCTTATACCAAATAGTGCAGTCACAACAGGTAGTGTTCAGTTTACTGACCCCAAAAGGAAAGATGGTGGTGGTAGAAGTCTTGACCCTGTGTTGACCCTGTTTTGGATGTGAATTCTTTGCAATTATGAGCCCATAATTACAAGCGACGTCCACTGAGCCTTCCCTGTGCTAATGGAAAGTGGCACCAGTGGCACTTGTGGAGAGGGGAGCGATGTGGAGGGCAATGCCGTATAAAGACATTTGAAATAAAAGGGTTGACGAGACTTACTAAGGTGACAAAGTGCCTGTAAAAGTGTTCTCATTCGGGATTCTTTAAATATCCTGGGTTGATGTTGTGCTCGTCACACCAGTCTGCACGGTGTCTGTTTCAGATTTTGTCAAAAGCATCAGAGACCACTTATAGTCCATGGGCCAGAACATAATTTGGTAACAGTTTTAAGTGGCAAATATTTAGTGATAACCGTTTCTGTAAATGGCTTATCTGATTACGTACTTACTATACGGTCGTTCAATAATTTACTTTTATTCGCGATTTAAAGATCCGGGTGCAACATACGCGTTTCCTTTTCAGGTGGTACCAACGAGTAAAATATTTGACCTCGGCTCATTGACTATTAGTCCAGAGCAATAATAACGTCTACTCCGCAACTGAAAAACGAGTTAGAAGTACTGTGTCATAGGGGGAACTCCCATAGTTCATTGTACGTGGGCACGTGTATTCACAACAGCCTGATTAGTGAAGCAGAAAACAATCATGAAATTATATATGCATCAAATTTGATCGCCTTCTAATCAAAGATGGTCACCATTTTGTCAAGATGCCCACCTGTTTTCCAATTTTTTTGATGTCCATTGGCAGTGTTCTGTCGTATTGATCTTTGTATCGATATGTTTGTGAGCTCATGAAAAAAATGGATGCCGCTTAGATGCAAAAAAATCCAAAATGGCCCCCATATGCCAAAAAAATATATTTTAAACAGATCAATTGAACCATGTCATTTTGTTTCCACATGTCTCTTCACCAGTTTGGGCTACAAAACAGATTAACTATATTGCAGATAATTATCGCATGTTCAGTTGCTTAGTGCTGTGCATCTGAGGCCCAAGTGAAGCATTTGCATCTTCCAAATTACATTGACCGTTGAACAGTTCTTGGCAACTTTTTGAAATGGAAGTGTAGTCCACATCATCTGCCAAATTTCACCTTTTTTCACCATCCCCTGTTAAAGGGGCACAGTTTATGGCTGGCTTGATTGTGCCCTCTTGTATCTGCAGAATAATGTGGGTTTTCTATTATGCCGTGAGGTCTGAATATTTTAATCACTGAAAGTGTAATTTGAGTTTGTTGGCTTGCATTGAGGTTTTTGAAGTAATCACTGACCTGAAGAGAGGTTTGAACACAAATTACCATCTTGGAATATCATGTAATCAAATAAAGTCTCGCTACGTCACCAGGGCTGACATATCCTTGGAAAATATGGAGTTTTATTTTGAAGCTATGAGTTTCGCCGTTTGAAACCCACAAGCGTGTGAAAAACTCACCCTCCCCTGCACAGGGAGGCTTTGAGAAATCACGATGTGTAGCTCAACCACCTGCGGACTCAGCAGGTGATCATCTCACACAGTTTCTCATGGGTCTTCAAGTGAGAACGAATGATTCAGAATTAATCCCTGTATGAGTAACCAACCCAAAGTACAGTTTTGGTGACATTTAATTCCTGTAATCATATTACATAATTGTTTTAACATTTGATGTCTGACAGTTATGTTTTAAAATTAGCATTGTTCCGTTCTGATCATCTGCTACATTTGAAATTACACATTTTTATCTGTTGAGTTTAATCCAGTTAATTTCCTGTGCAGTTCTAGATTTGAAGTTTTCGTGACTGCAAGGATACATATTCTTTGTTTTTTTCGGTAAAGTCACGTAGGTGAAAACTAAATAAAATAAAAATTACTGTAGCGTATGAAGAGCTATTATTAGCTAAATATCTCTCTTTATACGCTACAGTAATTTTGCTGGAGCATTCACACATGATGACGGATGCTTGTGTTGCTCCCGAAACGTGATTTAATTTAGTTTTATTTTGTTTCCTGTGCAGTCTTGTCACAATATAAACAAAGCATTCAGGGACCTGCGTTGACATGTTTTGTCAATTTCTTTTCGAGGATTTTGTATGTAGGAGAAAACGGAGGTTACTGGAGAAAACCCATGCATACATTTGGATAACACTAACGTTTTGAACCCACTTGCTGTACTGTTACCGCCTGACCTCTGCACGGGTAGACAGGATATGGCAGCTGTGTGAATTTGGGAGCCTTGCAGCACGTGATATCTGCATGACCCAATAAGTCTGCCTTTAAAGAGCGATGTTATAGGCAACACGCCTCCGCAAGCTTTTGTTTTCATCAACGAAATGTGTACCAGCTGTAACGCTGTTTAGTGACACTGAGACAGCCAAACAGATACTGTTCAGCCTGACACAGTGGTGAGGCCGATAAAGGGCATGTGGAACTAGTGCCACAGACCGGGGATAGGGGTTTGGATTTGCTTTTATGACGCATTGTTTAATGAATCACTGACGTGTGTTGTGCATTCATTATTAAAAACTCAAAATTAATAGATGCATGTCTTCTTAAAACAGGTGTCAAAAGTCATCATTGGTGAAACAACTGTAATGTGATCACACTGGACAGCTTGGCTGAAGCTATGCACGGTCGGCATCGGAATCCTACACGAGTATTGTGCCTCGTGTCTTTTGTCTGTGGTTTATGGCATACTCATTGAAAATAACTGAATATGTAGCGCTTATAGACCATATGGCAAGCATATATACTGTAGTTCATTTCAGAGAACAGATACGTTACGGTAATTCAGGCAAGGTTTCCAGGTTGCTTGCCGTTTGATGGCACTCAAATCTGTATTGGGTCACCCCGTGGTGCCCTTATAAAACTCAACGTTTAACCTACTCACGCCGGCTTGTGCCCGCCCTCACAGTCGGGCATATTTGCGGAATACACCACGCCGCCGTTGACCCTGGCCATTGACCGAGCAACCCAACGTTCCTACCAGCTCCCTCCGCAGGAATGTGTGGCATGCATCTCATTATTGGTGTACAATCTACCAGTCCTGGACGACAGACATTCTTCGCTATAACGTGCTTTAGCAGGTTTCAGATTATACCCACAACCCAAGCTAGCATCACTGTTATTTAAATTATGGTGGGGCCCCCGCATTTCACACGACGCCCCAAAATGACCGTGTGCAGAATGTAACCAAGATCACTGCCGGTATATTCCAAATGTATCGGGTTTACTTGGAATTCAATCTCGACACAAATCTTACATTGTCAAAGGGCAACAGGCTTACTACTTCCCCGGAGGAGTGCACGCATCACAAGCCACGATACCAACCCAAATGACCCTCGCAACAACCAACACCGTCATACAGCAACCCGACAGCCACGGCTTCACAGACTTCCTCCACCACGAACGCTGGGGAGGAAAATACTGCTGAACAAAACCCCGAAGGCACGCCCGAAGCATCACCGGGCTCTGAAACAACATTCTGTGGATCAGTCCCGGCCATCTCGAGCGGAATCAGTCGTGGAATAAAATCCCGCCCGCCTCAGTCGCCATCTCCAGCACAGCAGCCGCCTCGAACAAGACGAGGAGCCGAATTAAAACCCCCCCCACCCCCCACCCTTGGCCCCCCCCCCTTCCCTTGCCCCCCCCCCCTTCCCTTGGTCCCCCCCCACCCCCTTCCCTTGGCCCCCCACCCCCTTCCCTTGGCCCCCCCCACCCCCTTCCCTTGGCCCACCCCCTTCCCTTGGCCCCCCCCCCAACCCCTTCCCTTGGCCCCCCCCACCCCCTTCCCTTGGCCCCCCCACCCCCTTCTCTTTGTCCGCCCCCACCCCCCTTCCCTTGCCCCCCCCCACCCCCTTCTCTTGGTCCCCACCCCCTTCCCTTGGTCCCCCCCACCCCCTTCCCTTGGCCTCCCCCACCCCCTTCCCTTGGCCCCCCCCACCCCCTTCCCTTGGCCCCCCCCACCCCCTTCCCTTGGCCCCCCCCCACCCCCTTCTCTTGGTCCCCACCCCCTTCCCTTGGTCCCCCCCACCCCCTTCCCTTGGTCCGCCCCCCACCCCCTTCCCTTGCCCCCCCCCCACCCCCTTCCCTTGCCCCCCCCCACCCCCTTCCCTTGGCCCCCCCCCACCCCCTTCCCTTGGTCCTCCCCCACCCCCTTCCCTTGGCCCCCCCCCCTTCCCTTGCCCCCCCCCCTTCCCTTGGTCCCCCCCCCTTCCCTTGGTCCCCCCCCCACCCCCTTCCCTTGCCCCCCCCCCCCTTCCCTTGGTCCCCCCCCCTTCCCTTGGCCCCCCCCCTTCCCTTGGCCCCTTCCCTTGGTCCCACCCCCTTCCCTTGGTCCCCCCCCCCACCCCCTTCCCTTGGCCCCCCCCCACCCCCTTCCCTTGGTCCCCCCCACCCCCTTCCCTTGGTCCCCCCCACCCCCTTCCCTTGGTCCCCCCACCCCCTTCCCTTGGTCCCCCCACCCCCTTCCCTTGGTCCCCCCACCCCCTTCCCTTGGTCCCCCCACCCCCTTCCCTTGGCCCCCCCACCCCCTTCCCTTGGTCCCCCCCACCCCCTTCCCTTGGCCCCCCCCCACCCCCTTCCCTTGGCCCCCCCCCACCCCCTTCCCTTGGCCCCCCCCACCCCCTTCCCTTGGTCCCCCCACCCCCTTCCCTGGTCCCCCCCACCCCCTTCCCTTGCCCCCCCCCCTTCCCTTGCCCCCCCCCTTCCCTTGGTCCCCCCCCCTTCCCTTGGTCCCCCCCCACCCCCTTCCCTTGCCCCCCCCCCTTCCCTTGGTCCCCCCCCCCTTCCCTTGCCCCCCCCCCCCCTTCCCTTGCCCCCCCCCCCTTCCCTTGGTCCCACCCCCTTCCCTTGGTCCCCCCCCCCACCCCCTTCCCTTGGCCCCCCCCACCCCCTTCCCTTGGTCCCCCCACCCCCTTCCCTTGGTCCCCCCACCCCCTTCCCTTGGCCCCCCCACCCCCTTCCCTTGGTCCCCCCACCCCCTTCCCTTGCCCCCCCCCCACCCCCTTCCCTTGGCCCCCCCCCACCCCCTTCCCTTGGCCCACCCCCTTCCCTTGGTCCCCCCTCTTCCCTTGGTCCCCCCCCCTTCCCTTGGTCCCCCCCCACCCCCTTCCCTTGCCCCCCCCCCTTCCCTTGGTCCCCCCCCTTCCCTTGGTCCCACCCCCTTCCCTTGGTCCCCCCCCCACCCCCTTCCCTTGCCCCCCCCCTTCCCTTGGTCCCCCCCCTTCCCTTGCCCCCCCCCCCTTCCCTTGGTCCCACCCCCTTCCCTTGGTCCCCCCCCCCCACCCCCTTCCCCTTGGTCCCCCCCCCACCCCCCTTCCCTTGGTCCCCCCCCCCCACCCCCTTCCCTTGGTCCCCCCACTCCCTTCCCTTGGTCCCCCCCCCACCCCCTTCCTTGCCCCCCCCTCTCCTTCCCTTGGTCCCCACCCCCCTTCCCTTGGCCCCCCACCACCCCCTTCCCTTGGCCCCCCACCCCCTTCTCTTTGTCCGCCCCCCACCCCCTTCCCTTGCCCCCCCCCACCCCCTTCTCTTGGTCCCCACCCCTTCCCTTGGTCCCCCCCACCCCCTTCCCTTGGCCTCCCCCACCCCCTTCCCTTGGCCCCCCCCACCCCTTCCCTTGGCCCCCCCCACCCCCCTTCCCTTGGCCCCCCCCCACCCCCTTCTCTTGGTCCCCACCCCCTTCCCTTGGTCCCCCCCACCCCCTTCCCTTGGTCCGCCCCCCCCACCCCCTTCCCTTGCCCCCCCCCCACCCCCTTCCCTTGCCCCCCCCCCACCCCCTTCCCTTGGCCCCCCCCACCCCCTTCCCTTGGTCCTCCCCCACCCCCTTCCCTTGGCCCCCCCCCCTTCCCTTGCCCCCCCCCCCTTCCCTTGGTCCCCCCCCCTTCCCTTGGTCCCCCCCCACCCCCTTCCCTTGCCCCCCCCCCCTTCCCTTGGTCCCCCCCCCTTCCCTTGGCCCCCCCCCCTTCCCTTGGCCCCTTCCCTTGGTCCCACCCCCTTCCCTTGGTCCCCCCCCCCCACCCCCTTCCCTTGGCCCCCCCCCACCCCCTTCCCTTGGTCCCCCCCCACCCCCTTCCCTTGGTCCCCCCCACCCCCTTCCTTGGTCCCCCCACCCCCTTCCCTTGGTCCCCCCACCCCCTTCCCTTGGTCCCCCCACCCCCTTCCCTTGGTCCCCCCACCCCCTTCCCTTGGTCCCCCCCACCCCCTTCCCTTGGTCCCCCCCACCCCCTTCCCTTGGCCCCCCCCCACCCCCTTCCCTTGGCCCCCCCCACCCCCTTCCCTTGGCCCCCCCCCACCCCCTTCCCTTGGCCCCCCCCACCCCCTTCCCTTGGTCCCCCCACCCCCTTCCCTGGTCCCCCCCACCCCCTTCCCTTGCCCCCCCCCCCTTCCCTTGCCCCCCCCCTTCCCTTGGTCCCCCCCCCTTCCCTTGGTCCCCCCCCACCCCCCTTCCCTTGCCCCCCCCCCTTCCCTTGGTCCCCCCCCCCCTTCCCTTGCCCCCCCCCCCCCTTCCCTTGCCCCCCCCCCCTTCCCTTGGTCCCACCCCCTTCCCTTGGTCCCCCCCCCCACCCCCTTCCCTTGGCCCCCCCCACCCCCGTTCCCTTGGTCCCCCCCACCCCCTTCCCTTGGTCCCCCCACCCCCTTCCCTGGCCCCCCACCCCCCTTCCCTTGGTCCCCCCACCCCCTTCCCTTGGCCCCCCCCCCACCCCCTTCCCTTGGCCCCCCCCCACCCCCTTCCCTTGGCCCACCCCCTTCCCTTGGTCCCCCCTCTTCCCTTGGTCCCCCCCCCTTCCCTTGGTCCCCCCCCCACCCCCTTCCCTTGCCCCCCCCCCCTTCCCTTGGTCCCCCCCCCTTCCCTTGGTCCCACCCCCTTCCCTTGGTCCCCCCCCCCACCCCCCTTCCCTTGCCCCCCCCCCTTCCCTTGGTCCCCCCCCCTTCCTTGCCCCCCCCCCCTTCCCTTGGTCCCACCCCCTTCCCTTGGTCCCCCCCCCACCCCCTTCCCTTGGTCCCCCCCCCCACCCCCTTCCCTTGGTCCCCCCCCCCCACCCCCTTCCCTTGGTCCCCCCACTCCCTTCCCTTGGTCCCCCCCCCCACCCCCTTCCCTTGCCCCCCCTCTCCCTTCCCTTGGTCCCCACCCCCTTCCCTTGGTCCCCCCCCACCCCCTTCCCTTGCCCCCCCTCTCCCTTCCCTTGGTCCCCACCCCCTTCCCTTGGTCCCCCCCCACCCCCTTCCCTTGGTCCAATCCTACACACCTGCAACCACTTTCACACAAAGCCCCCCCCCCCGCAAGTCCCCTAATTAAAGAAACACCCCGCCCCCAAAACCATCAATCCCACTGCCACAACACCCTGCTTAAGGTCTCCCTGTTTAGCGAGTGGGCGGTGTCGCGCTCATCTGGATTGGCAGCCCTGATCCAGTGGTGGAAACTCCACATTCCCATGGTGCAGGTCAATCTCTATAGGACAACCACTGTTGACTCCCCATAGCATTCCGTGTACTCATTTGTTTTTTACCCTGGAGGGATCGCAGATTAAGCTGACCT